TGCGGCTAATTGATAAAATCTTGTAACAGTTTTAAAGCCCTGAAACTGATGATATGTACAAAAACGGCAGCAATAAACCACTACTCTGTTGTGTCAGAAAATGAAATAAAAAGCTACATGTTCCTTTTGTGTGTGCGCAGCCAAAGCAAAAAATGACAGTGAAGATGATTCTACATTACCAGAATTGGCTGAAGTCTGGGCACTCTCAAAGTCACTAAAGCCATAGCTTGAGGAGACAATGAATTCTGATTTAGGATTCTTTGTCATAATCACATAATCCACTACTTTTGGCATGGATGAGTTAAGCGTTTTGACAATTTGACCCTGCCTCAGCAGCCTTTATGCCAGAAAGTCTTCCTCTGGGCCAACCCTATTATTTGCTGGATCATGTATAGCTTGTCCTCCAGCACCTGCTTAAAGCATAAAGCTGGCACAGAGCACAAAGCTGGCACAAAGCACTACATCATGTGCCTGTGCTTGATCCAGATGAAATGTGAACTATTGCGTGAACTAGTAGCATGTAGTCAGAGTATGAATGGCTGTTCAAACACTGTCTGGGAGTTCTGCCATTGACTGCAAGGGGCCTTAAGTTTCTACCCACTCATTTCATGTGCTTAAAGTTTAACACACGAATCAAAGTCAAGTATCTGTACTGTCATGTTGTGCTCTCCACTCACATGAAAGTTACACCTAGCCCTGAAGCCACAATAACAGGCAACTACAGAGTACATAGTCCAAGATACCCAGTTTCTTCAAGGAAAAAACCTTCTGTCCTCTGGTCTTTGTAAAATAGACAAGCTTTAAAAGAATACTACCTGGACTTTTGACTGATGCTGGGTGGGATAAAGTTTATCTATCTACAGGATAGATACCTTCACATCAGCTAGAGATCTAAACAAGTCACCACACTCAGTGAGGTCTAGCTATCTAGTTAGCTGGCCAAGTGCAGGTGTTGACTTTACAATGAGGTGGGCTGCTCTCTAGGCTCCACTTGACCTCACCTCTACAAACTACAGCATGAGTTTAGACACCAAGTCCATATGAAGGCAGCAGTGTGTTGGCTGCTATAATGTCTTAATCAGAAGCCATAGAGTCCCATGCTGAGTGTTTTTAATGCACTTTTCTGTGTTTGACAGCTATTGCTTTAATTCTATTTCTGTCAATATGACGAGGCAAACCTACACTATTTTCTGTGAAATTGAAGAAGAAATTAGGAATGTGGGCTTAAAAAAGAATCTGAAAGAAACAAAAAACAAAAAACAAATAAACAAGGAAAATCCCTGCAAAGGCACCAAGGCACATGTATAAAACAATTTCAGCAAACACTATGCTATTTTAGCAACCAGATGCATACTTTTTTCCTAACTCTGAAAAGAAAAAGTCTTTTAAAAATTCTGAAAGTCATCTTCAACATACAAAAAGAGCTAAAATGGAGATCAGAAAATCATAGAATAATAGAATAGTTAGGGTTGGAAAGGCCCTTAAGATCATCTAGTTCAAACCCCAATGCCATGGGCAGGGACACCTCACACTAAACCATGCCAGAATCACAGAATCATTAGGATTGGAAGGGACTTTTTAGAGATCACCTAGTCCAACTCCCCTGCCAAGGCAGAGCCACCTAGAGAAGGTTATACAGAACATGTCCAGGTGGACATGGAATGTCTCCAGAGAGGGAGACTCCACAACCTCCCTGGGCAGTCTGTTCCAGCACTGTGCCACCCTCAAAATAAAGAAGTTCTTCCTCATGTTGAGGTGAAACTTCTTGTTCTTTAGTTTATGGCCATTGCTCCTCATCCTGTCACTGGGCACCACTGAAAAGAGTCTGGCACCATCCTCCTGGCACCAGCCTTTGAGATATTGACCTGCATTAATGAGATCCCCTCTCAGTCTTCTCTTCTCTAGACTTAACAGGTCCACCTTCCAGAATCTCTCCATAAGAAAGATGCTTTAAACCTCTGATCACCCTTGTGGCCCTCTGCTGCACCCTTCTCAGTAGCTCCCTGTCTTTCTTGTTCTGAGGAGCCCAGAAGTGGACAGATGTGGCCTTACCAGGTTCAAGTAGAGGGGGAGCTCAAATCCACCACTCTAAACAGAGCTATTGTTACATGACCCAGCATCAATGGGGGGGTTTGCCACCAGTAACATTTGATCCTCAAAAGTTAGTATGTTCAATTGCACTCTCCAATTGTCTTTAGTGAGCAGCAAAGGCCTATTTTTCTGACTCAACAAAAAGTATATGCACTATAAATCATTATAGAACATGGATACATAATCCAGTAATTTCATGCCCTGCATCTCCCAAACACCATTACTTTGTGCTAAACTAATTTAGTCTGATTTAATTAAATGAAAGTATTGGATAACTAATATAAACTAGAATTTCATAAGCCATTATTTTCCATGTTCCAAAACCTAAAAGCTGGCTAACTGTAACTGGCAGGTCATTTGCAGAGAAGCTAAAGCAAACCTCTTCAGGATGAGTACAGTAGATTTAATGTATTAATTTATGATCCTTAAGTCACAAAAGCATTCTTGTAAGGAGATGGACTTCTCAGGTCAAGACAAGTTTATTTATGTTCATGATTTTGTTGACCATGACATATTAGGACAGGCAAAAAATAGAAAAGATAATAGCAATAAAGACTAAAATAGTTTTAAGTAGGATATTTGGACTTTGCCTGAAATTTTTAGCATTATTATTTTTCTTTCTTTCTGCAGGCAGGGCTAGGTCATAGTGTTATTGGTACCTGAAGAATTTCTTTGAAAGCACTTGGGTTACTATAGAACAACAAAGGAAAACTTAATCCACTATGAATAAATTGGGTTTCATCTTTATAAAGGCAGTTTACAAGGAGACATAAATTCTCCTCATTTTACTCCAACAAACACATTCCAGTATCTGGATTTCTGGATTTTGTATGACAAAGTCTGAATCAGAGTTTGCTAAGCAAACTGAGTAAAGAAGACAACTTTATCCCTTATATTGAAACCTGAGTGTCCAAAGGTGTTTAGTTTACAACCCGTGGATTCAGTCATGAGGTCTCTCCATACACATAGCAGCGCAGAGTTCATTCTCTGTGGATGTTCCCAAAAGCCTCGGCACCACTCAGAAGGGGAAAATCTAACCTAGACCTGAAAAGACCTGTTTTCTGAATATCAGTGAGGCTTAGCCATCAAAACAACTTATAAAATACAGTCACTGACACACATTATACTTTGGAGTCTGGAAGAGAGATGCTGCCCAGCAGAACTGGTGAGGACACTGTTTTTAGCACCTAGATTCAACTTGATTATGTCATATTACATTACATATACAAGAGAAGTTCAGAAGAGCAACTAGTAGCTGCTTCTGGCACATCAGGTATGCCAACAAATAAAAGCAAGGCTGGCTACAAAGTGTCTGCTGACTTCTGCTAGTTCAGGTATGGCACCAAAGACTGCAGCAACTGCTAGCCCTCCAAAGATACATACATACATGTACAGTTGTGAGCAAGTCCTGTTAGCAAATCCAACATAACCATGCTTTTGTTGCTATGCACCATGAGCTAACAATCATAAGACAGATTATGTTTCTGGCTTCTCTTCCTTTGTAAATATGTCTTTAGATGGACTGAAGGTTACAAGTTCATAGTAATAAACCCAACTTTTCTTTGCTGTTTTTCTGATTTATTTATGTGCGTGTGTGTGTTGAAACTGGCTTCCAGCAGCTCCACTGCAAACTCAAGAGTTCTTGCTTTAATTCTAGTCTCTAGCACCATAAAAACTAAATTAACACCCCTAAAAGTGACTTATTTCTATACATATATTTTACACAACAGAAATACCAAAGGAATTCTGTTCTTGCTAACACTGAATGAAGAAAGGGCAGAATAAATGTCCAGCACAGAAAGTGTTTGCTTCAAACTCTTGCCTACACTCTGTTTAAGGTCCTTCCCCTGAGCACCTACTGGAGAATCAAGGAGAGGAAAAAGCATTAATAACGATTGCTTTGATGTTAAAAATCTATAAACCTGTTAGTAAAGATATGTCAGTCTGTCTTATGATAATTGCTTCTCTTTTAAAATCCTTTTGGGCCTCAATTCAGTAAAATACTTAAACACAGTACTTTATGTAAAACGCAACTTCAGTTTCCACTGGATCTGAAGCGTACTTTTGGGCAGTTTACTGAATCATAGCCTGTATCATTAATGTTTCTATCTGAATTAAATGTTTTTTCAGAGAAAAAGACACCAGGAAACCCAGATTCTCTGAAGTTTGTTCCATTGAAAGGAAGGAGCTGCAAGGAAGGCATCAAAACTTGTAATCCACCAAAGTACTGAATCTATCCAAATATTTTAAGAGGCTTCTGTCTCAGGACATTCACCTGACATTCCTACTCCAGGTTTACAAAGCTCAATTCTGAAGAGTGGTGAAAAAAATAAAGCCAAAATTCAGCAATTACAAAACAAGGCAACATCATTAATTCACACTAAACTGGTGATCAGGCTGTAAATAACAGATGGATGATGTAGCAAAAAAAAACCAAAACCACTGTCTTTCCACTTTCCTGTTAACAGATGACTGGTTTCTGATGGGTTTGCCTCCTAAGATATACCACCAAATACTTGTAACCCACACAGTCATTTTTCAATCACCTTCTTGCTACATATCACCCTACAAAAATAAAAGTAGACAACAAAGAGGCAGAGAATTAAAGTAAATGAAAAAAACAAATGTCAGATCCACTCACAGATGTACACAGATGTGAGCCAGAAAATTCAATGGAGTAATATCAATTTACACGTAGTAAAGCCTGGCCAAAAATACCTCCATATAAAAGGAACGTATGATGCGTGAGCCTACAAAATCATTACAATGCCCATCATAAAGTTTATTTCATATGATAAAGAGTGGAAGCATAATGGTTATTAAAATGGCTTTCACTTAAATGGCTTAACAAGGCTTAATTCATGTCTTCACGGGAGCTTTGCAAAGTAAGGACAATTTAAATTTCTTACCTGAGCTTTTATTGGTTTTGTTTTGTCTACTCTTTACTTGCTCGGTCCATAATGTAGGATAACGAGAAGCTATATCTAGGGAAAAAGAAAAATAATTTTAAATATTACTTTTTTTTTCCAGTTACTAGCAGCTGAATTGTAACCAGCTGATTTTAAATACACATGGATCTAAAAACAAAGGGACACACTGGTTTGTATTGGACCAGTTAAAACCTTTATTCATACAAAGGCATGAATAGTTTCTTCCTTATCCAATTCATACAAAAGGTTGAAAGCAATACTTTCGGACTAAAATTATGTTTAATCAGAATAAAAATCTCCCAGTGTGGACACAAAGTATGTAATAACTTCAGATCAGATTCTGTGAGATTTGCAGCCACAACACAGGACAATCACTTGAGCTTTCAATTTACAGAGCACCAAATTTCTCCAGACACATGTAAGCCTGACAAAATATCAACCTTAATATTACTAGGCAATATGTTGTGGACAGAATTTACCCTTTAACATCCTCACTTGGCCACTCAGTTTAGATCTGCACTCTGCCTCAAGTTTAATACCTGTCTCTGCATTGTGTAGTGACAACTAAAATTGCTGATGTCGGACTGCAGTGTCATCTCAAAACTATCACATGAAAATAAGACTCTGTTGTGTTTACTGTCTTCATTTGGAAAAATGTACAGATGTTTGCACTTTCTTGCAGCTAACTAACTCTTAAAGAGTTAGTTAATTCATGTCTTCACATGTTAATTCATGTCTTAACTAACTCTTAAAGAGTTAGTTAAGAGGCAGTTGCTTAAGAGGTAGTTACCCAAACTCTTAAGGTAGCATTTGATATTACAATATGCAGTCTGTACTGCATAGTTTAAAACCATACTGTTAAGTTCCTGTCCATGCTCACCTTCTTCATCACCTTGAGGCTGAGTCTCCAGCGCGGGAGCTGAGGCATCATCTGAATTCAGAATGGAAAAGATTTGCAAGGAGACTACAATTATGAGAGTAAGCTAAATAAGTGTACATACGTGATTGATACTAATGATTTGCACATAGCCCCGGCCGGTAAACGAACAATAATTTAAATATTATTTATAGGTACTACACAGAATAGATATATCACATCTACAGACTTTGGAGTATAAATGGCTGGCTTTTGAGGTTATGGCTGGTGAAATGACTGCAGGGTCTTTGATGAGGCATGAAGTGATCACGCTGCTCCCTGGACAGTAATTCTTCATTTTTAAAGCTGTACATTGATACCTATAGATATAACTGAGAAAAATCAGCATTTCTGTCAGTAATTGGATAATATATAGAAGGAGTAAGACCTGTGAAAGCAAAAGCAGTCTGGGGCGAATGAGTGGCTGCAGACATGTTGACACCTTAAAATGAAAGTAAAGTTTCTTTCGACCCAGCAGGATATATTTAACAGTCAACTGATCTTATAAGCAAGATTCACAGATTAAAGGATCAGAATATCATTGCATAATTCTTATCCTCCAGTCAGCCATCTCCATCCACCTGCTACCAACCATTACTGCAAGAAAAGAGAGAGGAAATTTTACAGAAATTGTAAGAGGAGTTGAGTAAATTTAGGTTCACTAAAGCACAGTGGAAGTAGTGCTGCAAAAGAAAACTTCAATATGAAAAAATATTTAAGTTAGCTTGCTGTGAGAGACTGCAGTACTCAGAGACCCATCTTTACCTTATTATGTTTTTGCTATTTAAAATTACTGCAGATATTGGTTAAACATGACCTGTAGGACTTGCTAGTACATACTTTCCAGTCATTGCTGTTTCCTGTAGCATAGCGCTTACTCCAGCACCAGGTGTCCATCAGTAGACAGCATCTTCTATGCAAGGGTTTTATTTCTTGCAGATTCACAACTGGATCTCTGACCAGCATAGTTTCCAGGTTGTTCTCCTGGCTTTTTCATGTAAGCTAGACCAAAGTTAACTGAGAAGCTTCCTCTTGCACGTAGCCCTACCACAGTAATAGTGAGGAGCAGCTTTAATGCTAACACACCACCTGTTTCCATTTCTTCTTGCTACTACAAGTCAGAATAGCCTTTTCCCTGCTCTCTTTGATGTCATCACCCCAGGAATTTTTTTGTAAATCTTTATTTTCTTTATGCAGATCATGCAGAGGACTCTGGAAGCCACAGCCTAGTTCAGAGCAAATAGAGTTACCAGGTAAAACCAAATTTTCGGCCATGGCACACTAACCTCTATGCTTTTCATAAAACCAAAGCAGCAGCAATAGAAACTTATTTTCACTGCAAAATGTTCTAACCAAAGCTGAAGAGACGTCTTTTAAGAGTGCTTATTCTTCACGTCCATGCAGTGACAGGCTACTTTGCTCCAATGCCTTAATAGACTGTCATTTTTCATTAGTTTTGCTGGCATTTTTGTGGTGTCCTCTGGGTGGTGGAATAAGACAATTAATTTCAGAGAGGCCATCAAGTATCCTAGTGTACTGAAAATCAAGATATATATTTAGAACATCAATCAGCACATGATGTAGAAAACACAGAATTTCAGAGGGTAGCTTATAGTAGGCAAATATTCCCAAGACCCCAGCCAGAAACTCAGGTTTTAGTTTAAATGACATTTCTCTAATCCTCTTTTGCTACACAGGTTCAGCTTGCGACACATCTGATCTTATGTTATTACCTGAAATTCAGATATAATGCTGTAACTTTGGTGATTTTCAGCCAAATCAAAGTTAGCCCTTTGAACTCTGTTCAAGCAACATTTAAAACAGTTTATCAATTTTCATTTTTAAAAACTCAACAGATGTTTAATGACTGAATCATAAAACTGGTGTCATGTCACTCCCCACCCCCAAAAAGAATAAAGAGGTTTGCTTCTGATCATCAATGGACAAAACACTTGGTACAAGATAACTGTATAATCTACAAGGCATTAAATTCACTCCATAACTAACTCCCTCAGGTCCTGAACTACCCTTAATCTGCTGGAAGATGACCACATTAATTTTCTGTTAGCACTCTGTCATGTACATCATCTTTTCACAGAAAACCCCTTTAAGAATGACAATGCACATGGCATTCCATTGTTCAAAACAACATTCAAAAGAGTCACAGTTCATCTTCATGTTAACTGGATATCTCACAGGTTAATTTTATAGGTCTTTGTGGCTGGCACAGGCATACCAGTCTATATGTGCATATATTTAAACAGAAACCATCTGTTTGCTGTCAAGAGTTCAGTTACCAAGAACATAGCCCTGCAGTCAGTTAATAATCAGAAAAAAGGGATGTGATCCCACCTCTGATACCTGTGCTTTTCAGATTGTCTGAATATTTTCCTTGATTAGAGGACGAAACTTTGGGGCCAGGGAAGATACTTTAGGAATTATCTTTTAAGTTTTACTCCTGCTCGGTTTAATGTGAAAATTCACAAACATGCAAAATGACCTCCAAAATCTGCAGCCTGAAATTTTCTTTCAGTATTGAAATAGAGAAAGAAAAGTTAACAACTGCAAAAGATATAGCCCACCAGGTCATCTTCTCCTCTGAGTCTCTGTGTGACATCTTGGAAGAAGAGACTGCCTCAGGCTAAGTCTATGCTGTCTCTTGAGTAAAGTCCTCACACTTGAAGGTCTGGAACATGTCCTCTGCAGCAGTGAGAACATTGTGAACCTGCCTAAGCTTGGTAGGTTATAATACAGTCAAGGTACCGCCATCCAGACACCTCTGATTAGTCCACAGGAACATGCACAAGAAAGATGAACAGGGAGTTTTATGGCTATTTCAAAGACTACTGCTGTGCCTTTTCAAGCCAAGCTACAGAATACTTTTTACTACACTGACTGTGAAACTGAAGCACAGGTCTCGCTCAGCTGATCCTGTTCACTGCTCCATGATGGTCCCTAAAGATGTTGTGACATCTCTGACAACATCACTTTCTTTGAAGCACGCTTAAAGACTGACTTTAAAGACCGACTGGAAAAAGGGTGGGGACAGGAAATTAGCTGCATCTGAGAAGAGCCAAGGACTGCCTGGGAACCTGGTCAGTGGCTGTCCATGCTGCAGACTTGTGCTGGAGCATAAAAACAGGGTGTGATCAAAATGCAACTGTATGACTCTAGACACAAATATGTATGATGTGAAGGAAGACTTGATAAATAGTGTTCATTCCTGTTCCTTGTTCTATGATTGATCATTTATGGTTCAGCAGCTCAACTGACATGGTCACAAACAAAAATAAAGGATTCCAGACAAGTTTCATACATGGGACAGTTCATTCACTTCAAAGCTGAAAATGAAAGTCCTGACCTAAAGCAAATGGGTAACTTAAGGTTAGTGGAACCCACAATTGCCTGGAAACACATGAAGGAACAATTTTCCAGTTCTTTGTAACTATTAGCCTTTAAAGTAGTGATTTTCTTAACCTAACTGCACAATAGTTTATTTAAATGTTGGGTATACTACAATGCTGTAAAAGTTCCTGTAAAAAAAACATTTCAATTGTATTTACAGTGCACCAAACAGTCATTAACGCAAATGAGTAACTTCTTTAAAATTAATTTATGCCATTGTAACTGACAGCTACATTTAATATGCTATTTTCAGTTGAATTTGAAATTCTTTTAGGTGTTTGGAGAACATAAGCTTTGATTTTGTTTAAAGCACAGACATCTCCCTCACTTAAATCTACCAGCTATGTTGGAGCCTCATCAGATTTTGCCCTGCCAACAAGATATACACCATGATCTATCTCTAATAACAATCATCTGACCATGACTGTAAGCCATTAGATGAATTAAACACAATATAGAGCAAAGTGCTGGGTCCAAGATGACTCAAGCACTGATTGCTATGGAAATAAAGTGAGGACTCCAGTTCCTGAGATTTTGGGACAGCAGAATGCTGTCTTTATCTAACAGACAGAATAATCTGTCCTCCAGGGCAAGCAAACAGTATGGGAAAGTATTTCAGAGTAGCTATGGGAATAAAAGCTATCTTCCAAACAGCACAGAATAGCAAAGTTTGCAGGGCTGAGACTGGAAAAGCATACTGTCTATGCATATATAGACAAATACATGCATACATATATGCATACATTTAAACTTATACGTTTACTAAATAACTAAAATGCAGACATGAAATTAATAGCATATATGCATGTATACATAGTATACATGTAGCTGTAATACATGATGAAAAACTATTCATAATTTAAACCTATGGAAAATTACAGTGGTGTATTCCACAGATACTTTAGTTTCTATTTAAAGGCCAGCTAAGATATTTACCTGTTTTTCCGGCACCTTCTCGTTGTGGCAGCTTCTCACTCACTGAACCTGCAATGGAAAAAGGAATTAACCAGAAAAATATTATTTTTAATATGTCTTCTAAGAAAAATAGTACAGATTTAATAGTCATTGAAGCCTTTCTGCTTTAAACGCCTCACACAAAGCCCTGTGAAAATCCTATGATGGTGTGACCGCATCTGGAGTATTGTGTCCAGTTCTGGGCCCCTCAGTTCAAGAAGGACAGGGAGCTGCTGGAGAGAGTCCAGCGCAGGGCAACAAAGATGATTAAGGGAGTGGAACATCTCCCTTATGAGGAAAGACTGAGGGAGCTGGGTCTCTATAGTTTGGAGAAGAGGAGACTGAGGGGTGACCTTATAAGTGTCTATAAATATATAAATGGGGAGTGTCACGAGGATGGAGCCAGGCTCTACTCAGTGGCAAACAATGATAGGACAAGGGGTAATGGGTACAAACTGGAACACAAGAGGTTCCACTTAAACTTGAGAAGAAACTTCTTCTCAGTGAGGGTGACGGAACACTGGAACAGGCTGCCCAGGGAGGTTGTGGAGTCTCCTTCCCTGGAGACATTCAAAACCCGCCTGGACACATTTCTGTGTAACATTATCTAGGTGTTCCTGCTCCGGCAGGGGGATTGGACTAGATGATCTTTCAAGGTCCCTTCCAATCTCTAACATACTGTGATACTGTGATACTGTGTGAAAAGTGTGTGTGTTGGTGGAGGCAGAGACACAGCATTATTCTGAGTTTGAGCCTGAGTTAGTTGCAGGAGACATCCCCAGAGTCCTGTACCTTACAAAAAGAGACAGCAGTGGTGGAAATAGTATCAAGAAGCTTGCAGGAGATGGGGTTTAATAGCTTATCTTACCAGGCTGGACTCTAACCCAGCATACAGTCTTGATTTCAACTTGTCAAGAAATGAATCTACTGGTTTCTTTAGTAGGTTTTACAGGAGGTGGTTGCCCTTAGGCTTTAAAGTAGAAATACTTATTTCTTGCTTATGTCTCATTATTACAGTCACTGGCATGACTCTAACTCCTAGCCACTTCTTATTAACAGATCTATCTCTGCTGCTTTAAAAAAGCACCTTCGGAAGTGGTAGCTTCCTCTCTGAAGACCTACATAGAAATCAAAAATTAAAAAGCATAATGTCTATCAATCCTCACCACAGTCTTCTTATATACACCTGCTTTATTGGAAAAAAAAAAAAAAACAACAAACCCCCAAAAAACTAACAAACCCCAACCGAAAAAAAAAAAAAAAAACAAAAAAACCACATCTAACAGATGCTCTGAAGTGTGTGAAATAATATGGTTGCCTTCATTTTCCTAGTTTATTTCCCTCTGGAATAACTAAAATCACTGGGTTTAAAACAAAACAAAACAAACAAAAAAAAAACAAACCTTGCAGCACAATAAATCTGTTCTAAAAGGACAATTTAAATAAGAGAACCCACTAAATCACAGGCACTGTTACTTGATAGTTACTTCAACATCAAGTTTAGACACAGGAGTCTGCCAGAGGGAAGACAGCTCAAATCACAAATCTGGCAGGCTGATTTTAAAACCTCCATAAAAGAATATATGACAGTGCAGCCAAGCTGGTACTACCTTATGAAGAATTCAGCTTTTAATACAGCTTTTACATACCCATAACAGAAATAGTCCAGTTTAGACACTTCTTTTTTTGGTGGTAGTGTATTTTTATTGTATTATGTTTGAATCAACAGAAAATCAATACGCTTAATGATGAGTCAGTGTTAATGCGGACAGGAAAAATAAAGTCATTATAATTACAGGAATTATATCCAAGGGTGTTTGGGACAGTTTGCTCTAAACAGACTGCAATACTAATCCATGTGCTCACTCTGAAGAGGAGGAAGATTTTTGCATTTACACTAGATGAAGCCCAAAGATCTGAGCTTTTTGTTGCTTGGCTTGAATTTGGTAAAAGGCTTAGCCTGAACTCAAATACGATGTTCCAGTTTTAGGAAGTACTGCATACAAAATTACAGGTTTTTCTAATTGCACTAAATACCAGTCATCTAATCTTTCCTCAACTTTCATCCAGTTACAATTAACTCTGTAGTTTCTCAATTGAATTTTGAAGCTCAGCATATAATTACAATTCCCTTGCAAATGCAACAATTTTAGGTTTGACTCTCACCCATACTAAAGCGTTTTACACCGATTTGTGAATAGAAATGAGGTCTCAGCATGGGGAATGTGTGTGACGAACTGTCACAGATAGCCCCTTTTGTGCTAAAGAGTATTAAGTAAAGCCTCAGTCTGACACCAGTGTTGTCTCTCTACGTACATTCAGAATCATTATTATAAATTGAACTTAAAATTCAGCTTATAGCCAAGTAATTTAATGCATTGGTGAAATTTATATAACATTCCACATCTTATATCAGAAAAATCTTTCCAGATTTCATGAACACCAAAATGCCTTCAGATTACTCCATCTGTATGTGAAATAGCGAGAAATAATGACTATATAATATACATGCAAGGTCAGGGAAAATTGATTACTCTCTCTATGCTTTGTTTTCTTTTTTTACCCTAAATTTTGATGGAAATTTGATGCATGAAGGAAGAGAGTGGCATTCACAAAGGCTAACTTTATCGCAGCAAATTTAATTCACTATGAATGCTAGGAAATTTATTTCACTAAAATGCTAGGATTTTCCTCAGTGAATGCTAGGAAAATTAGGTTCACCGGGCTAAAATGAAATTTTTAATAGTCTTGAAAAGCTAACAAAAATATTCACAGAATTTCCTACAAAGAAAATTCTGTGCCCCCACATAGATTGACCTGCAGTTTTCAATTTATGCAGCAGAAAATTTTCTTGTCTCAACATTCAAGTGGAGAAGGTTTATTGAGCTTCTACCATTTTTTTCTACCATTTTCTGAATATATTTAAGTACTACTATCTAAAATTGTGGAAGGAAGTTGCATTTGCAAGTTTCTAGAAAATTGTATCTTCAATACTCACAACAAATGCTCACATTTTCAGCAGGGCAACAAAGAGAAATAGCAACTTATAACTTCGATAAAAGTTAGGCAATACAACCAGCTTCCAAGTTTTCAGTGCACTGTAAGCCACCAAAACACCACATAAAAATATTTATGGAATGAGAGACGGCAAGGAGGGATATTAGATTCAGGAGCATTATTTTAACAAGAAGAATGCAGTACTGTTCTAGCTTAGCCATCTATCCCTTTATGATTCTGATGAATAAAAACAAAACAAAACCAAAACAAAACCCAAACAAACAGAAATATTAATGCCTTACTTTACTGCAAACCCCAGAATTCCAGTGAGTTTCACTATAGCAACTTCTGAGGCACAATAAACCTTTCAGGGAATGTGATGTGAGTTTTGTGGTTTGTAATTTTATGAATACCTATTTCCTACAGATATGGTCATATGCAACTGGCCTTCAAAAGTGAATGTGAGAATCTACTGTTATTTAATATATATAATGATTTATGATATGGAATATTTGTTATCGAATAACTGAATGCAGATATCAAGAAACAGGTATGTTATCTTCCCATGTTGTTTTTTCCTCACATATGGACGTGTCTGGCTGTGTATGTATAGGGAAAGTACTCTGTATGGGGGCAGAAGATATACATGATTCAAGGATGGGTATTTTTACCAGCTAACAAAAGTAATGTAATGTAAATTTTTAAAGGTTCATTGCCTTCCCACATGTTTGTTTTCATCATTTCTGAATTTTTAATGGTACTTGTATTTTGGCCTTAAAAATGATCAGGCCATCTTAATTGTAAGGTAGCAAAACTACTTAACAAAACAACCCCATGTCTCCATACCTCTGCAATCTCACTAGCAGAAGCCTAGAATACTTAATAGGGCATAAAAACCCTACAATAGGCAAACATTGTATTTTTCAATGATAATTTAACACCTGCTTCTCAGTTTCTGCCCCATTTCCCAGGACTCCGTACCTGTGGAATTTCTGCAGTTCCCTGCAGTGCTGATAACAGAGATGGGGAGTTGTAAAAATGTCTGTTTTATGTCTGGTGTTCTTTAGTGAAAGTATTGGGGGACATTCATCATTTTTAAGGAGCTTTCTTTTTAATGCTGTCATGGGAATGTGTTTGATTTACTCTCCTTCTCACCACTGCTCCTGCAACAGTGGGGATTACCTCCATGGTGTGAAATGACATTCTGAGATTTATCAAGTGTGTTTTACCAATACCAAGTGTTGTGCAGGAATAACTGGAAAGGAAGGAATAAAAGCTTCTTTCAGGTAAACACGCAGTAATTAAACAAAGGTTTTCTATAAATTAGCTGTAGAGTCCTGCATTTTTTAATGCTGTTCATAACCTTCATCTTTCCACACCTTGTGTCTACCAAAAAAGACAACTTCAGGAAGAGTAACCAGAACAACACACTGAGCAAAAAATTGCTCATACAGCTACTGTAGATACATAAAGAATATTCACATGACACTTTTCTGTCCCAGAACTTGAGGTAGCTTTAGGAAGCATCATGTTTTGCATCCAACCAATATTAACAGTTAGATAAACTTAGGGGTTGTTTCACATATCTAATATCACGCAGTAAATGTGAAACATGGATAGGGGATGGGATTGGCTAGCCAAAATCCTATCTGCCCATCCTAAATTCTGCTCCATATTTCCTCTATTAAAATCCAAGTTCTTCCAGGCTGCCATGCTCTTCTTTCCTATTTCTGGATATTCACCAAAGTCAAAGGTGGTTCTACTGGGAGAAAACGAAAGGCAAGAAATTATCCCATAACTTAAGCACAGTTGATTAGACATGTATTCAAAACTTATCTGAAGTTACTGAAGAACTAACATAAAATTGAAAAGAAACGCTGGACAATTTCATTAAAATAAGAAAATTTTACACATTCCATGGTATTACATTTCCTCTGAGAAAATCATTATGAAAGCACATTCACAATTAACTCTACCTGCCATCTTGGTTGTCTGTGCACATTCTCCTCTAGATGAAAAAGGTGGCAAAAGTGATCCCGTTCAAAAAAAGTCTAGTAAGTGCAAACTGAGAAATTTGCATAAATGTCTTTGAAATAGCTATAGCATCATGCCTGCAAAATATTCAGAAGCAAATGAAAATACATAAACATGCTGGTGTCAGCCTGACACTGCTACAGGAGACCTGCCTGCAATGTCAGAAAGTAGCAAGGCAATGCCTACATCAAGGCTAGAAACAACAACATGTATTAGACTGAATAGGGACAATAGTGTCAGAAGAAATGGCACCCCTGAAATATTAGTTAGAACAGAAGTGCATCTACTCAACTTCAGCATACACACTAATATTTTGATTGTAATTCCTGTGCATAGTGGTACTAAAGAAAAATGTACAAAAGGGAATCAACAGTGATCTGGAACATATCAACAGTCCTGGGGGAAAAAAAAGAAAACCCTCTGTTATCCTAAACAGATGGCAATTTTGAATATATAGTGCGAAATGGGAGAAGGGTGCAGTCGTGCTTCAGGCTTTCATTCTGCAATATAAGAGCAAAGTTTTGCCTTATTATACCACATCAAGTTCTAAGAAAATCTGTAGCTGCCTTCTCTGCTGAATGAGATTTCTCCAGACCTCTTAAGGCTAAGACCTTAGCTGTTACCACTGCAAAATCCCCTAGCATTCCAAATTTATTTCCGAACACTGCTGTAGCTGGACTTCCTTCCTGAAGGACAAAGGGGTATATTGTCCTTTGACAATATACAACATCAAATGTGAGAGCACTGATACAAGCAGGGGAGGAAATGTGCAGAGATGATCCCAAGGGGTCTCATAACAGTTGGAAAATCACCCATGATCTTCCATGAAGCAAAAGCATACTCTGCATAGTCACCTGGGCTCTGGAGCAGTCTCTTTATCTCTGAGCTACTAAATTAAGATCAAGTGCTACTATCACCTTCTCCTTAGCATTTCTGTAAAAAATTTCCCAGCCCTCCAAAAACAAACTGAAGCAGTCTGGAATTTTATCTGACAGACACATGAATATAGCTTTGAGAGGAACTAAGGTCTGGTTCCTGTAATGATAGAGTAATTCTTATAATAATCTATTAACTAACCTAGAACTAAACTGAAACTTCTCAATAATACTGAATATAAATAGAAAAAGTGAACTTGTTCTATTTATATTTGGTATTACTGAGGTGAAGCAACTATTATAAGTGAAAGCGACTAACTCAACAACATCTTGAGCCAAAAATAATGCCATTTGTTCTGGGACTGTTCATCACTCTAGATTTATATTTATTATCAATGTCAATGAAAGACAGAAGCAAATTTCTAAGCACAACCCCTTTTTCACTGATGTCAGTGAAGCATAAAACCGCAATTTTAACCAGTCTTCTGAAAATGTCATTCATTTATAATTACACTAAAATGAATGTACACTTTTCTCTATTTTAAGGCTTCTGAACATTTTATATTATTTTTCATAACTGACTGTCATTCTACAGAGACTTTTCATACTGGATCAAAAGGATTAGTCTGAAATATATTCTTTCTGGCTAAAGCTCACCTACAGACAAGATACATGGGAGATTCTCCAAATCATTTAAACATGACAGACCTTAGAAGCTGAATTAACTATCCATATCTTTGTTGAAACTTTCTCAGTAGTCTCTTCCTTCCTCCCTCTATTTATTAAAACATCAATATTGTGCTTGAACAACTGAAGTAGATGGGACCAGGTGAATTCCCTCAAAGGCTCCAATCTACTTTCTTTTTCAGCTTCACTTACATTATCAGGTTAGCTTTTTAACGCTGTTTTCCTGTTTCTGACAGAGAATGGTGCTGCGGCACAAACGGGCATACAGTACATAGTTTTAAAGTATTTTTAGAGCTATGTCCGTGCAATTCTCTCAGCCTCGAGGAAGGTGAATAGCAATTCTGGCAACTGCTCATACACTTGGGATTTATATGTCAATGAAAGATGGTCAGAAGCAAATACCTAAAAAAACAGTGAACCTGTTAATTGTCCTGATGAAAGACAAAAGAAAGACACATGACAAATGAGTATGACTGTGGAAACCCCCTTCAATACCTAGCTTATACTACTACAATTAAAGTAGATGGGTCATAGAATCACAGGGAGGATTAGGGTGGCAGTGAGTTCAGGGCTAGCTTAAAAGTTAGACCAACTTTCTCAAAGCCTTGTCCGGTTGAGATTTGCAAATCCCCAAGGATGGAGCACCCGCAACTTTCGCCAACACCTGTCTGTGAGCTGAACCACTCTTCCAATGAAGAATTTTCCTCCTTAAGTCTAATCACATGCCACATAAATCTACTATTCATGAGACAATGTTGTAACAAGTCTTACCTGGGCACCGGGGAGTTTTGTGGGCCACAGCAGTACCACTGATAGGACGACCATTGGGAGTGACACACCAGCAGTATCCAGTATAACTATGGCACTGAACCTGTCAGGAATGACATGAACCATGTGCAGTTTGTCAGACATATGTCTATTATCCCACAGCATTCATGACATGAGTATGAAACACTAGTCCAGCAAACTACAACCTAGAACAATAAACCATAATGGACCTGATCTCAGTCCTACATATAGCATAATGTTTATTTCAAGCAAAGTGTGGTAGTCCTTCAGAACTGAGTGAAGAGAAAACTACTGAAATATGTGGTTGTTTACACCCTATTTCAGAAGACTGGGGTGCAGGTGTTATGAAAACCTCACAATGAAGTTCCTCAAGAGACAGATAAACTGTTACTGAAGCAAGCAATCTTGATTTTTTTTCCACATAGAGAACATATTGTTCCACCCACTGAAGAAGCAGGACAGAGTGCTTCTGCCAGCATTATTCATATCCCAAGCTGTCAGAAAGGAAACTCCTGGAATTCCTGTTTAGAAATCAATTGCATTGTAATTCCTGAAGGCCAATATCACTTCCCTCACCATGTTTGAACTAAGAAGGATTGTCTTCAGCACAACTTCACAACAGAAATGCAGTACAGAGGCAGCAGAAGGTGATGTTGATTGGAATACTTATCAGAGTAAGCTTCTAACTGCATCCCTTCTGAATTCCATGATCTAGCCTAAGCAAAGTAGTCTTAGACTATACGGTTGTGCAAAAATTCAGCTGAGAATAGGGAAGAATTAGCACTAAGATATGGACTCTGGTTTCAAGATTCCTGGTCCAAATGAGGAACAGATCAGAAACTCCAAGCATTTTACCATCTGATGAGGAGGATTCAGGGGGCTATAAGAATGACTCAGATGCCTCAGCCTAGAAGAACATGGAGTGCATTGCATGAAAAATGATAATGTCTGGCTCTCTTCCTGGCCAACTCTGAAAAAAAAGAACAAGGACTTGGCACAAAACATGAATTTTCCTTCCATATTTTAACATCAGCCTTAGCAGAAATTACATTTTGAAATCATGTTTCCCTTCATTATATTTGTCTCTTCTTCATTTTCTGCAAACACACATATTCGGACTTTCCAGCCATGCAAGATACTGAATGAAAATTTTTCAACCTGACTATATGTGCCATCGTCATTGCATTCTGGGATAAACACTTGTTGAAATTCCTTGCGAGCTTGTTCCTGGGTGTACTTCCTCTCAGCCACACATCTGGAAACATCTAGAGAGAGGGAGAAGACAAGTCAGTTGGATGATGCAATACGAAGAAATGATAAGTGATAATCTAAATTACGAAAAATAAGGAAAGATCTGAGACACATAAAGAGAATCAGAATTATAATCAGTGAAAACGTACAATCACTTGCAATGTTTTTAGGAAAGAAAACCAGTAGAAGACAATTTCTAGGCAATAATTCAGAACTGGGAAATGAGATGGAGAGATGCCTGGAAAGACAACCTTGCTGCTCCAACTGCTGCGAAATGGTAGAAGTCCAAAGGGGGTTTCTCCTATGAATTTAGCACAGCAATAGATACTATATTGTGCCCCACAATATTCTTTCAATGCTGGTGGCAGCACAAGCCTTCCAGAGCTTCAGGAAAGGCAAAGCAGGCAGCAGGAGCCTTGTATTTCCTACTGTGATTTTATACACTATCTACTGCAGTTAGGCAACAATCTCAGCTGTGAGTACAGGTGTGCCTACCAGGCTGGTAAAATAAATGAAATAAAATATATTGTACACTATAGGGGTTCACTGGGGAGGTGATTCTAATAATTTTGGACATTAATTCATACTATGGTAAAATTTAGTGTAAGTTTATGATTTAGACATGGCATAAGTCAAGTCTACCACATGGTCCTTCTTTTGTCCGTGGTTAATAGCACCATCTCCTAAGTTACTTGGTACTAGTTTTCCTTCCAAGACAAGGTAGAAAACTAGACAGCTTTAATTCAGTTAACTTTCTATTGTCTAATAAATTATATTGTCTACTATATATACTTTCAATTAGGCAGACAAGGACTGAGAAAAGACACATAACATACACTGTTGTACCTTTCTTTGTTTAAAGCTGCTACAAATTTTAGCATTTTGCTGATGCAGAATCAATACTTTAGGATCTACTTGAGCTACGCAATTTCAGAAGAAATGAGAATACCAGGCAAGCTTAAGGTAGTATTAATGATTTCAAGATGTGAGTGTAACATCTGAATTAGAATGATCTCAAACACACACACGCAGAAAAAAATGTTGCTTCTGATCCTGTTTTGACTGTTAACTGTTTCACAGCAACTGGCTAGATCGCTTTTGGGGCTAAAACTGTCAAGTGATTACCTGTGAGACAGGAGTGTTGTGGTGATCCATGAATGTTCATGCAGTTATTAGAAAGCACAAGGACAGACCTTCCAGTCCATGCAGGTTGCACACTGAACAGAATCTGAACAGTGAGGCAAAAGCACTTCCACTTCCCCATTTGATATCATCATATCTTGACAGGGTTTTGGCATCTAAAAGTCCTCAGGAGCATACAGGTGAGCCAGCTAAGTTCCCAGTTCCCCAAGCACCCTCTCTGTGCCAGTGTCAGCCAGACACACATGAACAGAACCACCATGGAAGCTTAGCACAACTGCGGAAGTCCTGGGTACAGGATGAATCTTTCACTGGTCATCTCCACCAAGCTTTGGACAACTCACATGTCAACATTAGCATAAAAAATTCCCTTCAAGCCCTGGGTAATCTGGTGTGGAAGTGCAGCTTAATGAGGACAGAAACTGGTCCTCAGCATCTGCATCTGGGAAACAAAATTGGAGCCCTTTAATTCTAATCTTTGTATTGATTTCCCTTCTGGTCTTGGATTCATGTGCACTACTTCTGTGCATTAGTTTACTCTTCTCACAGGAGCATTATGAGAATTCATGTTGATAATATGACCAAAATACGTTTCACTTTGAAAAACTGTGTTTCAGTCTTAACAACCTTAATTATATCGTGTTATTGCAGGAGGGGTATTCACAGGGATGCAATGTTACCTAAAATGGACAGAAAAATTCAACCATCCAGAAACGTGAGAAAAATAACAAGGAACTGAATTAATTTGTACTCTGGTCCTTTAATAACCTGTTTCTTCAAGGGAAAATTATAGTCAATGTACTGTGCAGTTCAAGTGAAGCCTGTTAATGTATGCACTGCCAAACTTTTTTGGGGAAAAAAAAAAAAAGGAAGATTTTTAAGCAAGCTTTGGTGTCATAAGCCTTCTTCTGAGCATGGTTTGGTTATACAGTACTTAATAACATGTGGTTTTAATGTAGCTAGTATTTTAACTGAAAATAAATCACTCCTTTGTTGGCCCTCTGTCCTCGTTTTTCTAGACTGACATGTGGTTTAAATGTCTAAAAGGAAAAGTGATATAAATTCCATCACATAAGGTCTCTGGTATAGTACCAGTAGGGTTGTAAATTATCTCCAATATTTGAATTATCATAAAAAACATGCTAAGGAGAAAGAGAAGTTCTCCAAAACCGTCCACCACTTGTTCCTAAACAGCCTGATGCTCTAAAGGCCTCCTGTTTCTGGATGATCTAATATGCTTAAAAAATCAACAATGACCAAATTTAGTGGAATACAAAATTCCCATCTGAAGCCTTATTTTGCATTATATAACCATGGAAACATTTTAAAGCTGTGGGCATCGTTGTGCTTCAGTATACCCAAAATAAACCCATGAAGATTTCTTATCAAGTTAAGTATCTGAAACTGTGTATTGTCAAAATATTATTTCCAGTTCTTTTTTTTTCATTTCACCAAAGTATTACCACAAGGGAATAACTGTGACACACAGATACAGTCTAAACCTGATAGAAGAAATGTATTAGGATGGTCAAGATAAAAAGAAGACATACAAAAACATTCCTCCTCAGAATATTAATCAACATTAAATTAATACTTCAAAAGAGCCAAATTCCTTTCAAATAAAACATCACTGAATCCAAAACAAGTCATAATACTTTTTGCAATAAATTTGCAGAATTTACACCACCTGAGAATCTGTCTCTGTGTCCTGATTGCAATACCTTCTAAATCTACTGCATGATTTCAAACATATTTTCAGAAGGAAAAGAAGAATTCAAGATATTTATGTACTAGACATCTATGCAAAATAGCAGCTGAAAAAGGATGAGAAGATTAATTCTTGCCATGACTGGGAAAAAGACTGAAACATGAGCTCACATCACTTATCAGACAAGAGATGGATGTAGGGACATTTTGCAGCTCCTAACCGGAAAGTCTGTGATAGGGAAGATCTTAATCCATAGGCAAACAAACTTTTAACATTGTCATTGCTTCTGCTCACTCAACAAAGCCAAATCTGGGACTCATTGAGCAAAGTCATGTGAGTGCACCCAGACAACTCATGTCAATCAGCTCACACAAATCTCAAAGTGCATGAGCCTAGGCTTAAGTGGATTGACAGAAGGTTTATTGGAATACTGGCATCTAAGGAGATACCAGTTAAGTCGCACATATACAGATTCAACTTTCCTTTTTCTCTAGAACAGGAATCACTCAGATCAGGATGGACTCTGATTATTTTGATATAAAGACTGAGAATGAAAAGTAGTGGAACATACCTGGTAGCTCTCTGCTGATTTATCAGCCCACATCCTTGATTTTGATGATCATGTACCGTACCCTGACCAAAGCAGGCTAAACTCTTTTCAAGTGAATGGCATTCACACTGGTGACAAACAACCTAAGAGCAGAGGGGACTCCAAATCTGCAAGATGTTGGAAGGATGAAAAGAACTATGCAATGCTGTGCATCACTGGAACAATTCAGCCGTGTTTCACTCTTGTTATATTGGATTTTTAGCTCTAAAAAAAAAAAAAAAATCTGCTTTTGTTTAAAATTTTGGAACCATCCAGCTGAAAAATAAGGGGCTTTAAATGGTTACTCGTTTCTGACTAGAATTCCCACTATACTTTATTTTTCTTCCTAGCTTAAGTATTAATAAGGGACCCAGCAGGCTCAAGACAGAATCTGGTATATGACCTGGTGAAACAACCATTTGACTATAAGTGATGTAAAAAGCTGGCTGAAATGAGGCTTTATTTGCCTACACTCAGACAATGGGAAAAAACTATTTTGCAGCTATGTATGCCTAGAAGTAATTGGGAATTATGTCAGTGACTGACTCAGTGAGATTTTACCTTCTCAACTCCAGCGGCTTTTGCATTCCAGAAGATTGCTGGAAATCTCCTAGCATAGAAACTAAGCATGAAGATGCACCAGTGTGCCTTCAATAAGCTCACTTAGACTGTAAAAAGCTGCCAAATTGGGTTGGTACAGAGCTTGAGGCATTTTAGTACAGTACGTTGGCCAATGTTTGATAGTACAACTGTGATTCAGCTCTAGCACTGCAAAGGCTGCTAAAGGTTTAAGAAGACAAATACATCCTGGGGTGTATAACTAAAGACAGAAAGGGGTGCATGAGAGTGGACAGGAATACACAGAACTGGATTACAGAGCTGTAGCTGTTTGGGGAGGACTTTCTGAATTGCCCTCGTGACAATTCCTGAGGAGACCAGTGTCTGTAAGGCACAGATGAAATAAGGAGCCATCTTGATTTTGTGCTAAGCTTCCATATGTAACAGAGAAGAATTTCACCTACTAAGTGAAGTGGCGCTGATACACTGCTGCAGGGTCCAGAACCAGATGCTGTCAAGCATGACACCTGGGAGCACAGGATTTCCTGAGGTAGCATTGAAGTCAATAGGAAATTGCAGTACCTAAGTAAATTCTGGAAACAGAATCAGCCTCACAAGCAGAACAGGGCTGACTTGGAACTAATTTTATTTTATGCCTTATTTCCAACAGTACAGCACCAAAACCACTGAGCTTTGAGGGCGGGGGCAGGGAGGGGAGAACCAAACCAAAAAAAACACCAAACATTTATCAGTTTCAACTCTGCTGGCTAATCCTTGAATAATATATCACTCAGAGAAGTTTATGACTGGAAAGTAGAAGTTTATCTTTAAAACAATGACACAAACTCATTGAGGGTGTAAACACCATCTCTAAAGTGACATTTAATACAACTGAATTTACAGCAACTTTGGGGCTCCACAGGGACATCTAACCCAGATTCTCTCATGGAAAAGTAAACAGCTTGCCAAAAGAATAGATAAATCTCCTGCAAAGGTTTTGATTTAGTTCATCCGGTATT